AGGACTTCCAATACAATGTTAAGTAGAAGTGGTGATAGAGGGCATCACTATCTGATTCCCATTCTCAAGGGGAATGCTTTGAGTCTTTCTCTACTGATAATAACGTTGGCCCTTGATTTTGCATATATGCACTTTATTATGGTGAGGATTTCCCTTCTATTCCTTATTTTGCTGAGTGTTCTGAACAGGAATCCATGTTGAATTTTAACAAGTGCCTTTTATTGTCAAAACATGATATTATCCAATGTTTCTTTTATTTATGTGATGGATAACACTCATTTTTCGAAAGTTAGATCATCCTTGCATAGCTGGTATGAATCCCACTTTGTCATGATGTCTTATTTTTTTGGTATGTTGTTGGATTATGCTGGCTTGGATTTTGTGTCATGAAGGATACTGGTCTATAATTTTCCTTTTTAGTGGTGTTTTTCCCTGGTTTTGGTATCAGAATTAAGCTTGCTTCATAGAATGAATTTGGGAATGTTCCATCATTTTCTATGTTCTGGAACAGTTTGTGAGAACAGGTGTCAGCTCTTCTCTGAATTGATAGAATTCTCCAGGGAAGCCATCTAGGCCAGGATTTTTTTTTTTTTTTGGGGGGGGGCAGGGAGGGCATTAATGACCTGCTCAATTTCTTCTTCTGTTATGGGTCTGTTCACGTATTCTATCTCAGACCCAGTTAGTTTAGATAGGTCTTGTGTTTCTAGAAATTTGTCTATCGCTGGAGTAGTTCTTCATATTTATTCTGGGATTATCTAATTTCAGTTGGTTCTATTGTGATGTCATCCATTTATTCATGTTATTTGCTGCTTCTTTCTTTTCCTGTTAAATTTGCCAGTGGTTTATTGATTTTGTTAATCTTTTCAAAGAACCAACTTCTTGTCTTGATTTCCTCTATTGTTTATTTCTGCTCTGATATATTTTTTTCTTCTGGATACTGTATATTTGTTGCTATTTTTCTAATTTTCTTCTCTTATTCATTTATTGCTATAAAGTGACCTCTGATTTTGCTGTGTCCCAGACATTTGGTAGGCTGTATTTCAATTCTCATTTGTTTCTAGGATTTTTTTTAACTTATTAATTCTTCTGCTACCCATAAGTTCTTAGGTAGTGTATCATTCAGTTTCCATCTTTTTGGTTTTTCCCTCTCATTGGTCTTCCCATTACTGATTTATAATTTAATAGCAGTTTGATCTGAGAAGTTGTCTTGTTGTAATTCAGTATTTTTAATTTTGAGGTTTGTTTTGTGGCTTACAATATGGTCTGTTCTGGAGAAATGACCCATGTGCACTGGAATAGAATGTGTATCGTCCTTTTGTTGTTGGGTGTCTTTACCAAACATGAGTTTATTCTCTTACAGTTTTGGAGGCTGGAAATCTGAGTTTGAAGTGCCGAACTCTAGGGGCTGGATAAAAACCCCTTAACCTTGGGCTTCAACTCTGCCTTTTTCCTGGCCCACTGTAGCTAGAGGTGTCTCTTCACTCAGGCAGCTGCTGGGTGCTCAGACTGACAACCCCAAGGTTGACAAATAAAACAGCACAGTCCCAATATTACCAAACAACATGGCAGCCCACTAGTTCAAGTCCAGAGACAATTCCAAGATTGGCAGGAAACACAGCAGATTACTGAAGACACGGCTAGTGCAGGGTCCAAGTGTGCCAAAAAGCTGCGGACCATTCCCAACGCTTCTCCTTATATACTGGGAGCAGACCACATCCCCAAAGCAGCTTCCACCATGGAGTTCATTAGCAGTTTCATCATGGAAAATAATGACCAACAGGGGCTCAGCCACTCAAAACTAGGCCCAGCCAAGTTGACATATAACTTGAATTACAATTACACAAAGTGCAAATCAGATCCAGTTTCAAAACATATCCATTTTTAAGTTTATTTTTAATAAAAAGAAAATAAACAGACAACAGTTGGAACAAAAAATGTTTTGCTCTATTCTTTTCAGTTTAACAAAGGTATTACATCAGGGAAGGTCTTTTCTTACACTTAATGAACCAAGGAAGAAGGTAGAATAAAGGTGAAGGTACAAAAAAGCAACAAAATGTTATGAAGATATAAGCAAAAGAATACGAGAAGTAAAGAGTTAAAATAAAGAGCTATAGCTGCCTTTCTTAAAGTTTATATAAAGCTTGCTTGGGCAGTCATTCACTGTATACCAATTCATCCTAGGAATGTTGTTGGCAACAGGCATGATTCTTACAAACTGAGCTTTAAACAAAAGCTTTAAACTACTGGATGCTATTGAGTGGGATTCCTACTTACTAGACCCCATGTGTGTCAGAGTAGAACTTTACTCCACAGAGTTTTCAATGGCTGATTTTTCAGAAGTAGGTTGCCAGGCCTTTCTTCTGGAGTGCCTCTGCATGGATCTGAACTGCCAATCTCTATGTTAGCAGTTCAGTGCCAAAGTATATGTGCCACCCAGGCACTCTAAAAACAATACTTTGAGGAATAAAATATTAAAAATCTTAAGTAACAAATTCTAGATAGGGAATAAGGTCCAGGATCTCCTATGTCCTGTTTCAGAGTCAAGGAGATTTCAGGAATATATTTTGTGCTAGTGTCACAACTCTTGATGATTTGAGGAGGACAGATATAGCAAAGGGTTTAAAGAAGGGAAAGAGGCTAGGGGACCTGCATTCTCTGGTTCCAAGTTGTTTTGGCTCCCTTTCAAGATGAGGCTGTGGTGTGTGGGTTGGGTTGGTGATATGGTATCATGGCTTGCTTCCTCCTCAACCTCTTCCTCTTGGCCTTCTTCAGGCTTAACCCCTGAGCCCCGGGCTCTTTTTGACTCCAGGTTTTCTTGATTTGGATCCTCATTCTTACTATCCAGGTCCATTTTACGTCGCCGCCGCCGCCGCCTCTCCAACACCTGGTCCCTTGTCCAATTCCCTTGATGCTCAGGCTTCTCCAGCTATAATTGCATAAAGACATGCAGGAAGTGGTGTGGGTCAGCATCTGCTCCAAGCCTGGTTGACCTGACCTCGATCTGATCCTGCCCCTCACCTCACCTCCAGCAATGTGCGGATTCGCTCCAGATCTGGAGACTGTCCAGCCTGCAGCAGCTGCCAAATGCTGTGGTTCTCATCCAGGGTCACCTCAAGTAGGTCCCCCTCCATCATAAGCTCCTCCAGAGGAGCTCGGGTTGCCTCTGGCAGCTCTAACACTGGGCCAGTCAACTGTGGCAACAGTGAGGACAGTGATTCCAAGTCTAAGGTTTAGGGGAAAAGAATGGGTTAAAGGCTGCCCTGGTCTCACCCCCACCACCAGGTCAGAGCCAAGAAACACAGGGGCCACTCTATTTGATGTCTAGTTAACAGTCTACCCCACCTAGACCTACCTCTCTTACCTGAGTTCTCCCTTGGGGAAACCTTCTCAGGACTGGCCACACTGTCTCTGTTCTCCAGCAACTCCTGCAGCTGCAAAAATGGGTACAGGTAACTGAACCAAAAAACGAAGTCCTACTTTTTCTCTCCCAACCTCAGACTGGGGGGACCTTCCACCTCTTGGAGGAAGAGGGCAGACACAGACTACCAAAAGGGAACATTATCTAGAAATCTGGACAGGATACAGAATGAAGAGGATAGGGTCAAAGGAGATTGAAAATTAGAGGACAGGGAGAAGCAGCAAGAGTCTTAAAAAGGGGTAGAAGCCAAGCTCACCTTAGGCATATCCTTGCCATTATTCTCTGTGAGAGGATCAGAGTCAGAGACTGAAGGATAGCCAGGGAGCTCCACTGGTCTGGGTTCAGCCTGCATCTGCTGATGAAGCTCAGCCAGCTGTCTCAACAGGGCAGTCACATCCTCAGAGGCCAGAGCCTGTCTGGCACGGCCTTGCCAGCTAATAGCCCTCTCTGTGAGGCACTGCAGGGCTTCACCCTCAGGCAAACGCACAGGAAGTCTCTGCAGGGATACTAGCAGTGCGAGGATGGTTTCTAGGCGTGGGCGCCGTGAGCGCACGCACAGTGGACAGAGGAATTTGGTGTTCCACTCCCACCAGGCCAGCAGTGGGGATGAGGTTGGACTGGGTCTCATGGAACTGAGGAGGTGGGGCACTGACACACACTGCCCATGGAACCAGTCTTGACATAGGTCACACTGCAGAGCTCCCACCCCAGCTGGCACTTGCCCACACACACATATTGAGGTTGCAGCAGCAGCTGTGGTAGATGGTGACAGTGGATGAGGCTTGGCTGAGTTGGTGCGACGCAGCTGCAGGATACTCTCCTTCTCCTTCAGCTCCCCCTCCTTGAAAGCCACTATCTGCCATGGTCAGGGCAGGGGGAGAACAGATTAGCACGAGCCCCTTCCCTTCTTTCACCCCCTTAACTCACTCCCAAGACAGGAAAACTGAGATCCAGGAGGCAAGTGGTCTCCACAGTCCCCCAGCTCAGGCAATCTCATTACCAGGGATCAATTACTGTAATAGGGAGATACCCCAAATCCAACTTATCTCCATTTATCCCCAAACTCCTTACCACAGAGCCTGGGTCCCTGAGGTCTTGTGCAGACAATCCCAGCAGTTCTGTGTCAGATTTATACAATCCCAGCTCCTTCTCCATCCACCGGTTACGTTTAATGCTGTCTGAACCAGCATCTACACAGGGGCAGAGGACCTGAGGCAGGCAGAAAGGGAATGAATGGGCTTCTATATCTTAATCTCCCCTCCCTAGTCCTGCACAAAAACCCACATGAGCTATCTCATGACAGCTAGGCCAGAGACAGGTGAGGCTGTGGGTCAGGGTCCTAGGCCTCACCTCCAGCAGTGTATAGCAAGAATTCTTCTTGAGGAAGATCTTGGAAGCTTTCTCCCTCCATGAGTGTGCTGTCAGTACCTGCAGCTCTAGCTGTCTCAGCTCTTCCAGCCCCACAGGCAGGTCCCGGCCCACAGCCACTAGGCCCTCCAAGTCATCCAAACAGGGGTAGTGGTCACCATTCTGGTGACAGGGGCAAGAGAAAGCTCAGTTAAATTATGGCAACACCTACTGTGTCTAAACTTATGCTGAGCAATGCTGGGTATTACACTACTCATTTAAACTACCCTAGAAGGAAAAAGGGATAGCAACTATATTTCTTGCAGAACTACTTCCAATGGCAAGAACCAAAATACCCAATTAACAGGATCATGAGACTAGTTTTTTTTTCCTCCCCCCAATTTGCTTCCTCTGGTATTTTCTATGTCCACAGTCTTTTCTCAGCTTGAGAACCATATACATATGTGTGTGCTCTTATACTGACATCCCCTGCTCCCTCTAGTCACCATCCAACCTCCCTCTTAGGACAGAAAAAGTCTAGGGTACAGTAAGTCTAAGGCACAATGAGGGCCTTATCATTGCAAGCCTACAGTGGAAGAGTGGCGAACATGATCTTACTTGAATTTCATCCACATCAGCAATCCAAGCCTGTGCCTTTGTTAGAGCCTCTTTGAGTGCCTGGATATTGGGCAGGTGAACAGGGATATTTTCTGTCTCACGGATTATAGCTTCCAATGTGGCTGGTGAGTGCTTCTGTCTAAAAATGTTTGGAAAAAGAGAAATCCATCTTTAAATAGCACATATATGTATGTACATTTTACTGTCCTCAGCTTCCCTGACAAAAGCATAAGCAATACAAAATTTGACAAAGCAAGCAAGCAAAAATGCTCAGAGTGTGAGGAAATACCTAAACATTAAAGGGGTAATTTGGTTCCTCAGAATTCAAGGTGGGTACCTGCCACTTAAGTACAAATTCAGCCAAGGAAGATTTCCTCAATTACTGCCTTTAAAACAGGAGGTCTAGACAGGAATGGATAACATATAATGTCAATCATTTAGAATTAAGCAGATGCAAGACTGGGAGTACGATATCCAAGATCACCTATGGAAGCCACACTTACAATCACCCCAATCTCTGAGAGGTAGAGTCAGGGTTCAGATGGGGAGAGGCTGGGCCCCACCTGGCCTCCAGGCAGAAATGAGCCTTTTCTTCCCAGCGTTCTGCAATGGTCAGCAGCTCCTGTAGCTCAGCCCGGGCCTTGTCCACAGCAGGGCTGGAGGCTACTTTGGCACCAGTAACCAGCAGCCCCTGCATGATGACCAGGGATCCCCTTTCTGCAGAGGGAGCCAATGCCTGTTTCACCTCATCTAGCCAACATGCCTGCTCCACCTGCTGCTGGAGCTGATGGACTTCAGGCACCTCAATACCCAGCTGCTGTCCTCTCTCCAACAGGGACTGCAGTTGCCTTGGACTAGAGGGCAATGAGGCCAGAGCCTCACGGGCCTCAACTCGGAAGGCTTCCACATGTTCCAGGACAACCTGCAAGAATGAAAGATGATAAACTGATTTACAGCTATCTAAATGTCCAACTACCTGGCCTTCCTTGATCTACTCCCCTGTGAATACTGTGATTTTCTCTCACAGGCATGTATTATTGTTCTAGAAATTCTCAATCACACGCTAAGACACGATCTGCTTGGTATCAACAAACACTGTTTACCCTGGAGACTCCTGGTTCTCCATTAATGATCTAAAATGTGGTTTTCCAGACCCACTTTTTAATGCTACCTTATCCCTCTAGAAAGTATCTTAAGATTCCAGTCTGAAAATCTCCCCCTTCCTCATACTATTACCAAGAATTAAACTTTTACGTAACTTTCTTGTTACTATCTTCAATAATTTGTTTGGGAGACTATGCCCTTGCACTATAAGCTTCTCAAAGATATAGTGTTGGACCATCACCCATATTCATAACTCACAGAGTAGAATTTGATGTTACAAGGTGACACTCGAGTAAACAGGCTCTCAAGGTTTCCTGATACCTCAGATGTCACTAATATTAGTTAACAAAGATTTCATCTTGCCACTCAATCCTCACCTTGAGGTCACCAATTTGATGCATGGCACAAGGCAGGCTGCCCATCTGATCAAGAAGGACCTGGAGCTCAACCAGGGTCAGCTGTGGTGTTTCCATTCTGTGGGAGCCAGAGAGGAAGGACTTATTATTCAGTGGACTTTTTAAAGCCATGTTTTAAATATTCTTAGAATGCTCATAATACTCTTATTTCTCCTCCAAAATCTAGTTAATACCTTGGAATGTGTGACCAGACCAAAAACCCAAACCCACTGCCATTATTAAGTTGGTTCTGACTCATAGTGACCCTTACTGGATTTCCAAGGCAGTAAATCTTTATGGAAGCAGACTGCTTCATCTTCCTGCCATGGAGATAAAGACCTTTCCTAAGTTCTGATACTTAGAACCAGTAAGATAAAAATGATTGAGGGCATTTCATGATGCCATAATCTATTAGGTAAAGACTATTAGCAGAAAATAAGAGACTGAAAACATCAAAGTAAGAAAATCAGGTTTTAAAGATATGTGACAGTATGGGAGCTGAGTTGAGAACAAATAGATGGATCAATAAAAATAAAAACAAATAGGTTTATACTTTGTTGTTGTTGTTGTTAAGTGCCGTCGAGTCGTTTCCGACTCATAGCGACCCCATGCACAGCAGAA